CAAATTGAACTTCTATTTCTTAGAAAATAGTCAAATCTTCAAACTTCTAAAAGTATGTTTAAAATGAACAAAGAAAAAAAATGTATATATATAAAATGTATTTCTGTTCCCTTACAGATAAATACTCAGAGTGCACTGGTGTGGTAGCGGTTTGCACTCTTGGAGTGCTTCTTTTGCTTGTTGATTTCTAAAGCAACTAAAACCATATTAATACTGATAAGATGACCACTATACATCGATATACATGATGTCTAAAAGTGTGGTTTGCATATTTAACTTCAACCATTTGTTCTTGTCATAAGCAGTATGCCAGGCATGATCATTATGACGTCATCATGATCTAAGGGAAGTTTAGCTGTGCTGTATGCCAATCCACAGGGAAATACACAAATAGGAATGTCATTCTTTGTCCTCCCAGGTAACACTGGTTCACCCCAGTGAGGCAATCACAGTGCTGCGCAGTCTGACCAGAAAACACCCTGACAGGATTTACTTCAAGAGCTTCTTCCGCTCAGGCTACATCAATGAAACTACTGTCTGTAACGTATGTTTGCGTCCAACCCAGCAGCCTGTGTGCAACTACACTGACCTCAGTACAGGCGAGCCGTGGTTCTGCTACAAGCCAAAGAATCTGAGTTGTGATACCAGGATCAATCACTCCAAAGGAAGGCTTAAAAAAAACCTCATGACCACAGAGACCCTTTTTCAAAGGTGTGTATATGCCACATTATCTGTGTGACCTAAATGGGGAATTTCTAAAGTCGAGGCAAAAAGTGATTTTGAGGCTTTTCTTCCAAAAAGCTAATTATTTACACTCGGATATGAAGAAAACTTCGTCTGTACTTGTGTAAATGGTAAATGGGCAAAAAAAAGGGTATTTTTGTTTTGTTCTCTGCAATCTAAATCATTTTGTTGCGTGTGCTTTGCCTCAGTGATGTCAACATGAAAGTCTCTATTCCAGCTTCAGGACCTTCCCGTGTCACTGTTTTGCCAAAAACTAAAGGTAAATTATAAGTTTTCCAATTTTTTACATTTTTTTAGTAGTATGGAGTAAGCTAAAAGTTTTTGGATGCGATGTTAGTGTTCATGTGGAGAGATAATCCCTAAGAAGTTTTTTTCAGTGCTCCTTCAGAAGCTTGACTGCTACACATGGATCACTCCCTGGAAGCCATGTTCTGTGCCCTTGCAGTGCTGGGTCTTCGTAACTGTGTCAAAACACAACTTGTCTTGATCTCACAATTTTCTTTGCACTGTGTGTGGGCCCACAGTTGTGTGCTGATACATACTACATGTTCAGTTTCCAGTGGATATACTCAGACTTCCCAAAATGTTACAGTACAGCTGTCCTTCAGGAATTCACCTGCACAAACCTGTAAATGTCAAACAGTGACTACAGTTCCAGTTGATCTCCCACTGGATGTGCTCTCTGCACAAATTTAAGGTCCATAAGTAAATGTAAGTGATTATAACAGGACCTTCCAGATGCAATTTAAAAGTAGCTGCAATAGAAGAGTGTCATAAATGAACCATGAGCAAGAGATAAGGTTTTTGGTTTTTCTGACTAGTTTCCAAAATGTTTTGATCACAACACAAGCTGCACTTAGCAGATAAAATGCTGAATGAAGTGCACCCTCTCTCTTTAATCTTCAGTTTGAGGCAAGTTTTCAACATCCACATATGTGGTGAGTTGTAAGGTTTACAATCAAGACAGATTATGATATGTTCAAAGCTGCCATGATTTCATGTAGATGGCCACAGGGTTAAACTGTTCCAAAACTAATATAGTGGTGTGAAGTCTTGCATCTGTAGTATGATGGTAGAGTGGTTTTTTTTCTCTGGAATTTGCTTAACTTACGCATGATTGCCACAGTAAGATTAGACTTATCAGCTGGTTAAAAATATACTATTATTTATTTTTTAACGTCTTCTCAGGTTGGTCCATGGTGAGTAGGCGCACTGTGAAGTCTAGACCCTCTGGGTATTATTTCCACGGTGTGTGGCGAGCATTACGTGGCCCCAGAGTTCCTCACTTCAACACTTCCTCAGCTATCACTCAGTGTCTGAAAGGAAAGGTGGTTCATATATACGGAGACTCCACCGTCAGGCAGTGGTTTGAATACTTTAACGCAACACTACCAGGTAGCTGCTCCACAAACCTCTCTGGCAACAATTTGATTTTTTTCACAGTGAAACTTAAATCATTCTCTCTGTATTATTTTCAGATCTTAAGGAGTTTAACCTGCATAGCCAGAAAAAAATTGGACCTTATATGGCTCTAGACTATGTGAACAACATCTTGGTGACATACCGCTGCCATGGTCCTCCTATCAGGTTTTCCAAAGTCCCAATCAGCGAGTTGCGCTATATTGCCAACGAATTAGACAGCTTGACTGGAGGCAGCGATACCGTCGTAGTTCTTGGCATTTGGTCGCACTTCAGCACTTTCCCCGTTGAGGTCTACATCCGGCGTTTGCAGAGCATCCGCAGGGCGGTGGTGCGGCTGCTGTCCAGGGCTCCAGATACACTGGTTGTCATTCGGACTGCAAACCCAAAAAATCTGACGCTCTATGAGACAATCACTAACAGCGACTGGTACTCGCTGCAGCGTGACAAGGTGCTCAGGGCCATGTTCAAAGGACTGAATGTCCATCTGGTGGATGCTTGGGAGATGGTCATGGCCCACAACCTGCCACATGAACTCCACCCACAGCCTCCAATTATTGAAAACATGATTAATGTTCTCTTGTCCTACATATGCCCTAAAAAAGGTGGCTAGATGTGATTGTTTTTCAGCAGCCCATGCACACACACATTTATTCCTTGCTTATTTATAACAGAGATAAATAGTAATGAATAATTAAACTGAGCCTTTGGATTCTCATGCAACAATCCAGGAAATACTGGAACTCCTTATCTGACACACAAGCAGGATTTACATAAGGGAATATTGCCTCATACAGGCTCATTCCATAGAACCAATCTATGACACACTATGAATGTTTTATTGACAGTAGGTTGTAATTCAAAGTCACTTATTGAGTAGTTTACTCATTACCACAAAAGAGGTAAGCTTCACTATGCTGCCTTGCTTCCAAAGAAAATGTGTTTCGCCACAGTCATCTTTTCAGTGCAACTCTTATTGTGTTTTCTGCAGCAAATCAAATAACACAAAAAGGCAAAATAAAAACGTAAAAAGGGGTAACATTGAGCAAAGTTAGAAATAATTCAAATGTTTGCCATAGATATATATTCAGGTGGACATAAAAATACCGAAATTAATGCTACTAAGAAGGGACATAAGATGGGATATAACATCTCGAAATAGTCACTGATTGTTAATTTAATAATGCTAAACATTACTTTATAAAATATGTAAACCCTGTAAAATGACGTCAGATTTTACACAACACTGCCAGTGAATTTGCATCTATTTCTAGAGTACTGTTGGGAGCATTAATCTGACTGACTTCTCAGGTATTACCTCTAGAGTTAAGTGTTTACTGAAAATATCACAAGACACGTGAATGTATTTTCTGGATTCATGAAAGGACAAAAACAAGAAAAATGTTCTCCAGCTGAATGAAAAGAAAAAGGAAGTCCTTGTCTTTGCCCGTGACAGATTAAGTTAATGACAACTTAGGTTCTCTTGCCACATTTGCTAAATCTTCTATCAGGAACCTTGGTGTAACGTTTGACTCTGTCTTCACTGTCAATGCTTACTTTAAATCTCTGGTTCGTTCTTATTTCTGTTACTTGGATCACCAGGTTGAGTTCTACTGTGTCAGGCTTTGGATTGATATTTGTTATTTATGCCTTTATTTTATCACATCTGGATTACTGTAAATTCATTGTTTACTGGTTTTAATAAAGCATCCTTGGAATGCCTGCAGGTTGTTCAGAACGCTACCCACATACATTAATCCAGGTGCACTGATTCTCCATCAACTTCAGATTCCACTTTAAGATTGTGGGGTTTTTTTTACTTTTAGAGCTCTGCATGCACAAACATCCACTTTTCTAGCACCAGCTCCAGACCCCGAAACTCTATGACGCTGTGATCTCTTTTAAAAAGCAACTAAAACCTCATCTTTTTAAACTTGCTAAACCTTTTTGTTTTTATGTTGTCGCATTTTTGTTGTGTTGTTTGTAATATTTATCTCGAGAGGTGCTAAATAAATAACATTTATGACTAAATATAATGTAATTTAAACATAAGACTGTTAAATTAAAGTATTGTTTAAAACTGGCTTATGTTTTTAGTTACAGTTTTATTATGTTGGAAAAAGAATTATTTTTTGCTATTGGTTATTCAAACTACTTACAATTCAATAAAATGTTATTTATATACCAAAGTAACCAATAACAAGACACTTTATATGATAAGAGACAGATATCAGAAACAGAGCCTCAACATCATACTGACTGAATTATGCTAAGGACAATTTGGAGAAAAATTATTTATACCAAAAGCATGACCTGTGGTCAGATGAGACTAAACTAGGTCTATTTGGGTAAAGAGATACTGCTCATGTTTGAAGAATGAATCCATCCACAACCCAAAGAATACCGTCCCCAAAGTAAATATGAAAAAAAGATATGAATAATGAAAAAAGATATGAGAAGATTTTGAAAGTAGTCAGCAGCAAAACTTGGGTTCTCATGTTCTCTTTCAACACGACAATCTCCAAAAATATACGTTGGCATTCTGGTCTGCACATAGCCCTGACTTGAATCCCATTCTCAGGGGTGAAGACCAAGAACCATGCCAGAAGATGGTCAAATCTGGAGAAGTTTAAGAGATTTGCCAAAGAAGAATGGTCTAGGACTGCTCAGGTGGTGCATGTGAGACTTGTTGAAAAAGACAACAAAGGACTGCTGGCTGTTATCCAGCAAAAAGGATTTTCAACATAATTACTGGCAACAGAGGGGCTAATAATGTTGACTCTGGCATATTTTAGTTCTTGTAAAAATTATTTTTAATACATAAAAAGAGAGGGTAAGCAGTGCTTTAACAGGAAGAGACCTCGGGTAGAACTTGATTATCTGGAAGGCATGTTTTTCAGTTTAGTACAGAAATGACTAAGCATTAACAATACACTGATTTTCATGCTTTTAGCATTGTATTTTACATATCTCCTTCACAGTTACTTTTCTTAAAAGCTTTGTTGAAAGTTTTTTGCAGAATGAAAATCAGCACTTGATAATTTGAGGAGGTTCCTTTCACACCGACTTGATCATCATTCTTGTGGCCTTGGCTGAGTATGGTGCAGGTGGTTTCCAGGTGCGCCAGTGGAGGCCCGAAGCCCAACCTATGTGTTCACCGTAGGAATGCCAGTCACCGTTTAGATTGGCGGACCCACACTTGCTGTACCACCACCCGCCGCCCTCTCTAACGGTACATGCTCCAACAGCAATGTCACCAAAGATGCAGGGGGAGCAGCCATCATTATCGCGGTCAACTGTGCTAAAGCCATAGCCATTCTGATCAATGCCTTTATAGGCACCACGGATGGCATCACCTTTGGATAGAGTGGGAAACAAATCAAGAAAAATGAATTTTTAAAATTCACAGGGTTTCTTTAAAGTACAAAAAAAGAACAATATCTAACACCTGATTGCATAAACAAACAGTGAGTAACATTTATGTGTATATAAAAAGCAAAAGAAATATGGCGACAGTAAAAACTTCAACAGGCTTCAGGCTTCAGTACCTGCATTTCCACGGTACTTCCCAACATGTAGTTTGAACGCAGTTTTCTCATTTCCCAGTCTAAAGTTTTTGTACTCAGCGAAAGCAGTCCCATCTTCATGATCCCACAGATCCACCCTCATTGTCCACTTCTTGGACTTGTCTTTGGTAAGATAAAAAATCTTATTCAGCCCGAGCCAGTGGTCCTCTGAAAGTCAAAGCACAAAGAAATAAATGGTAAATGGCCTGTATTTGTATAGTGCTTTATTTAGTCCCTAAGGACCCCAAAGCGCTTTATACTACATTACACTACAAAGAAAAGATTTAATATTTTTATGTTAGATCCATTCTTGATCTCTAGGATTATATATCACTACATCATAATAATAATCATTGTAATTTATTTACGTGTCAGGTTTCCAAAGCCAGTTTTATATGCTGCCCATTTTCTGTGGAAAGAAACGGCTCCTCCGCTTCGTTTTTGAAACACCGTCCAGCCTCCATCTGGATGCATCTCACAGTAGACCTGAGTAAGAAGTTCATTCACCACATATTAAGAAATTCAGCTGGCATTTACTTCTACTTTTTATCTAAGGAGCAAGAAACATTTTAGAATATGGCCTACAAGTAGTGGAGTAATTCACCTGTAATAAATGGAAATTGAATATTTTATTTGAAATTACAATCTAATCATACTAACCTATGAATACTTAAAAGTAGGTACACTACAATAACTCGGGTTTTTACAGGAAACAAAGAAATTATTATATTGTATGTTAAGTACAGTGTAAGTAATTTTAGCTTGTGTAAAATGTCATGGTAATTTTGCAGAAAAATAAATATTTATGTATCTTACATCCATTTAGATAAGGGGAAATTACACCCTTGGTCGGGGCTATATTATCGAGTATATAACCAGAAGCTCAGTGTGCTTTTTGTTTAACATTATTGTTTACTTAATAGTTATGAATATAAAGTAAACTGTATCCTGTTATCTATAACCAAATGAAACCTTGTTCTGGTGAAATCATTTGATAGATAAATTGCAGTTATAGTTTACAGTGCTGCTTCTGTTTGCTGTGATCTTATAAACATGACTTTGTTATTATTTCTTGGCTCGATCGATACCTTAAACTTGGTCGCGGCTCCATTTGGCTGGATCGTATAAACGCCACTGGATGCTCGTGGTGACAGAGTCTTAATCTGTGTGCAGTCTGTTCCTGAGGCGTACACCATAACAGAAAGAAACACAATAAGAAGCAGAAGAATAAGACTGAAATAGTATACTTATCTGAGTAATAACAAACAAGATGATCCATACCTTGAGGAGAACCTGCTTTGTCCTGTCTCTAGCAATACAAAGAAACAGTTTTAAAGTGAGTCTTAACCTCGTTTAAATATCCATCTTAAATACTGACAATACAGAAGCAGGACAGACCAAGTAGGGAACGAATTTTAAAGCTCTTACTTTTACCCCGGCCTGTTCTGTGCAGCTCGAAAGAAATGCCAGGATGAGTCCACAATACACAACCAGACTCTTCATTTTGACCTGTGTTTAAAACAGACCAGACTGTAAACAGTGTTTAGTCCGATGAAAATTGCTGGTAACTCTGCTCTCAGAAGATGACTGGCTGCTCAGAGTAACTCTGTCCTGTTCATTACTGCAGCAGTAATAGTCAACAGTTTTTTCTCCAAACACATACTTGCGTGTTAGGTGAACCTTAAACCCCGTCTCAAGATTAACAACAGCAGCAGTCCCTTTATCCAATAGCTTAACTACCACACCCCCTTCACTGCTATGACAAGCGCGTCACTTCCTACCTTAGGTCAGTGTGAGTGTGACAACTCAAATCTGAACAACTGATGCAGTCATCCAACATGAACTGCAATTTTTCTCTGAAAGAGCTTGTTTACCTAATGTTACACAACTTTCACAATGCTAATTTCTCAGACCTCTCTGGCTACACCTCTCTCTAACATTCCAACTGAGTAGTTCTATTTGCACAGCAATAAAGTCAATGTTTGTGGAAGCCAGTTACAGACATCATCTTTTTATTGACTCGGATAGCAAGGGATGTTTACAATTGCTCCTTTGGCGTCTGTAGTTAGAAAAATTACATGTTTCCCTTAAATCTAAATTTCTCTTCAGATATTGTTATTCCCCAGAGACTCTGCTCAGTCATTTCTTCTTATTCTTGAAGATGATAAATTTGATGTAGATATGAAACTGAAAGAATAAATTCTAACTACTTTTAAGCAATTGCCTAACTTTTTATTTAATGGCTCCACCAGATGAAATGTTTTAACCATTTAAGCATGGCACCAAATTTTCCAGTTATTTATGGTTTGTAGTAGTTTCAGTGATCGCCAGGTGTCCCATGAGACGTGTAGTTTTAAGTAAAATGTTTTTGCAACTTTTAACTTCAACTTTTTACTATGAAACACAGAGGTGCCACAGTTCTCAAACCAAACTCTGGAAGTTGATCAAAAAACGATTTATGTCTTATTTTTCCAAATGTTTACAGTAACTTTGGATAAAGCACTTGTGAGATGCTCCACATTTCCCTTGTGTATCTGTGATAATGTCTATATGTACTCTAGCAGGATGATCTTTGTGGTTGTTATGCTACAATCACAGTAGGAAAAACAGTGGTTGGAGAATGCAACACAACCAAAATTACTGTGTATAGTGCGCAATGAACTTGGTTGTTTCGAGTGATTGTTTCGACGACAGGGCCAGCATGACGCACAGGGTGACGGCTGAGGGAGTTGCATGCTTAATCTCTGGGTGACCTTGGTTAGAGCAACTACTTCCAACTGGTTTTTGACAGCAAAGAAATTGCAATTTTTTCTAGGGAGGTTGCAATCTACTCTGGTGTGACTGAGCCATTAAATACAAAAAAGCTAGACTGTGGTGAGTAGAGCAGACAATAATAGCAATTAAGTATGTTATTGTGTGTACCCAATAGGGTAAGCATGAACATGCATGAAGATTGTCACACATACAGCGATTATCAACAGCTATACATATAATTCTTTTGATTTTCATATTTATCATCCCCCTGTGAATCCAATGTTATTTGTTTCCACAATGGAATTTCACCACTAAATAGGGAATGAAGAAATTGAAAAATTTGGTGTAATTTGGTGTAACTTGGTGTACCTATTTCTACTGGTCATGTCATCGAGTCAAGTGCTGACTTGGAGTCACAATTGGGACCAGTCATTGGTTGGGAGCAATGGGACATCTGCAAAAGGGATGTTTAGTGCAGCTATCAAGTTGAAAGCTAGCAGTTACAGTATTAACATTTTATAACCTGTTACCTTGGTCTTGAATATTATTAATGGAATGAACAAGGTTTCTGCCATTTTTATGGTCTTTTTTTTTTTTACCTCTTCTTTTGTGGCAAACTAGTAATGGAGTGGGCTCATTGGAGGGTTAATATATTTTGTAATTAACTGATTTAAGCCTTGTGTAACAGAGATGACTGTTAAGCTGTGAATGCTAAGTTATGAAATTTGGGCATGTGATATGGTACTAAGGTTTATCCAATTTATTGTAAATCTATTGTGTGATATGTGTAGTGTGGTGTATTTTCCAGTTGTTTAATGATTCAAAAGCTGTATATTTTAATTACATAAAACTCTAAGTAGCCAATTATGACCAACTGTCACCAACATGATTATCACTATTGTTTTCATCAGCAGTGAGTTTGGAATTATTTGCCACAATTATTCATCGGTTTTAGTGACAAAAATATTTTTAATGCACTGCCATCTACACCAAACACTGCTTTCGCATTTTCTCACCTGTACAAATCTTTACATCCAAGTGAAACTGGTCTTCCTCCTTCCTCCTGCTTTAATTCAGTGCATCTCTTATCAGAAAAATAAAAAATTGACACCAAAACTTAAAGAAATTACATCAACAGGGCATTGCCTTCACTTTTACATTGTCCTACATTCCTGCAAATTAAAATTTCTTTGCAGGAAATGTGTTTAGTATAAGTCCTTCACTACATGCATTGTAGGGGGGGCGTGGTATGAAAAGGGGAAAAAAACCCAAAGAAAATGCTTGGACACTGCTAGCATGGGCGCCCACACAAAGGCAAAGCAGGAGATGAAGCATCGCTGAATATGTTTCCAAAACAACTTCATTCTAAGCAAAGACTAGAAAATATGGTGAAGCATATCTTCCCTTTGGCTTCACCTGCACAAGTGCCAAGATAGGTCTCCCTTGCATAATTGGTTTTCCCTTTGTTGGAAGCACGCGTTGGGCTCTTCAAATCACGGACAAACAGTATCCCACATTCTTAATTTTTAGTTCACAAACACTTCTTTAATGACTAACTACTGACATTTTGGGGATGTTAGCTCTTTATACAGTAAGGTTACAGTGGGATACAAATAATATCAGGCTGATCCTGCCACGATTTGTTCCCTCAGTTCAAATCACGGACTAACAGTATCCTACAGTTGTTTATGTTTTTAAACCCATTTTGCACAGAGAGGCATTTTTTGACAAATGTATTGATAGCAATGTTGAATATTATTATCCATCCATCCATCCATCCATCCATCTTCATCCGCTTTATCCGAGGCCGGGTCGTGGGGGCAGCAGCCTAAGCAGAGAGGCCCAGACCTCCCTCTCCCCAGCCACCTCCTCCAGCTTATCCGGGGGGACACCAAGGCGTTCCCAGGCCAGCTGAGAGATATAATCTGTCCAGCGTGTCCTGGGTCTGCATGCCTGGAACACCTCACCCAGGAGGCGCCCAGGAGGCATCCTTGTCAGATGCCCGAACCACCTCAGGCTGGCTCCTTTCAATGTGGAGCAGCAGCAGCTCTACTCTGAGCCCCTCCCAGATGGCCGAACTTCTCACCCTATCTCTAAGGGAGA